TGATGATGATGATGATGATGATGATGATGATGATGATGATGATGATGTATGAGAGGCGCTCTTGACGAAGTGTGTGCAATAATCATTTCTTTCAATAATTTCGATATCAAAGTTGTACATTGTCGAGGACTTCTTACTTTAGATATATATATATATTATTTTTGATAAGCTCACCCACCATTGGAACTATTACTAATGTACTCATTATACATTAATGGACAGCGATGTTGGAAAATTGCTGCGGCATTCGTATCGTTTAAAATTAAAGCTGTACCATTATACGATTTATTTAGCCAATGAGCACCTTGCTGATGACTATGTCCATACCAAATACAATTGCCTTTCGATGCAACCAAAGATTGACTTATTATTATGATTAAAGAAATGAATATTTTTGTGAAGACAGAGCAGTGAGAATACTTGAAAATTCTTAAATGTATTACACGGGATTGCTTTAAAACATTTTTAGACTCCATCGATGCTAACAACTATTCTTAATATGAATGAAACGAGTTTTATGTTTGTTCAACAAGAACTAAAATTAATAAAAACTAAAATTTGTGCAATTTGCTTAAGTTTTACTAAATTTATTGCTTTAAAGAAAACTTTTCGGCTATTCAATCAATACTTGAGAATGTGATTAGATATCTTAATCGAAATTTTTGATCATTTCTGTGAACACCTGTGCAGTAAACGTTCTTTATTTTCTTATATTCACAATAATCTTAAAAACAAGAAAACACTTAATTGATAGAAAAGATAAAAGGGAGAAAGAGAAACATATACATGTATATATATATTAATGTATATATATATATATCGAAAGTCGTCAGATCCCAAAAGTAAATAAGAAGAACAATGTGTGTTAAGATACACTCATCATATATTCGAAAGTCGCCAAATCTCATAAGAAGAACAACGTGTCGATAATGTTTTCCAAAATTTGACAAAGATCAGCAAGACATTCCTGTCGAAGTAAACATTGATTTTAACGACGAGTTTTTGAATTGAGTTTTGAAGAGGCTGGTTACGAAGAGAAGCTTCATACTTGACCATAAATTTGGGAACGAAATCTACACACTTACGAAGAGATTGATAACAGCAGGCAATGAAAAGTGGCTTATGGCAAATAATCTGTGAATAAGGTGGCAAAGCTGGGATTAATGCCACGTACAGTAACGTCTCGTATTTGGTCGAATTGAAAGGGAACCACGCATAATGAGCTGCATCAACGTAACCGAATGTTTAACTTCACCTCCCACTGTCACAGCTAGTGTGATTAAAGCACCCAAAGCAAAATTGATCATTTCCCATCAACCTAATCTCAAATGTTGACAAAAGTTGACGAGTTCGGCGAAGAAATTTTCATGGTTCTCCGAAGGATACTCTTAGTGATATAAAGCCGACTTCGAAAAATTCTATAGAAAGCACTTTGCTCATTTTCTGCCTCAGACACCACAGAATTTCTTTGCTGATGACATAGCGATTTTACCAGAAAAATGATGAGGAGTTAATCAAAATGGCGTATATTTAATGGCTTAATAAAGTCCACTTAATATATATAAAAGAAAATATTTGGATTTTCATGAAAAAATGCTGTGAAACTTTGCCGTAAGCAAATACTTTCACATATGTCTTCACTTATTTTATGAAACGTGTTAGCTATGTGACCCAATCGCTCTCATATGTATAAGAGATTTCTATAAGCTTTTGTAGAACGTATTCTTAAATACTGTTTGTGTGTTTATCTTTGATAGATTTTTTTTTTTTTTACTTACTTGATGCTATCGGTTTTGCAACGAAGTTGAGGAGCCGATATACGCAAGCATACGAGATTATCAGAGGCCAAGACAAATGACAAGATCTCCCAACTTTTGATGTTTCTGTTATACGGCAGTAGCTCTGCTCCACAGTACAAATTTAATTGTTAGCCCTTTCATTTTCATTGCTTGTATGAGGAAAAAAAGTCTATTATTAATAATAAGCAAAGGATTTAAGAGTAAATATACCTTCTTTTCGTCTTGTCGTTTATTTCATATCGAAGAATTAATTCTTCATTAATTGTTTCCTTAAATTTCACTGAAAATACTTTATGTAGGATTAGGAGGGAATTTTTTATATTAAAAAAAAAATTACATTAGAGAAATGATTGTAACTTAAGTAATTTGAAATGTTTTTATACCCATGATCGAAGGTTGAGGAATATCAAACAGTTAAAAACGCCCAGAAGGAAGCTTCAGAGATCCCACAAAGTATACATATATTCTTAGTCAACATCAAATATTGAGGCAATTTAAGCATGTACATCTGTCCGCCTGTCTATCTGTCCGTCTGTCTATCTGTCCGTCTGTCCGTCCGTCCGTCCGTCCGTCCGTCTGTGCAATGTTTGCTGTAAACATTTTTCTGGCCGCAAAAATGAAGCTATCGATTTCAAATTTGCTAGAAACCTTGGAAGTTCATGCGCACAGGTTCATATGGAAAACGGACAAAATCGATTGAAGGATATGTCGGTAGTGCCGCGTAAACTGAGAACACTTTTGTTTTTCAAAGGGAATAAAAAATTGTTTTTTTTTTGCTCATTACTCATAAACTGCAGCGGATAA